TATGCTCTGCCAAGCAGAACCAAAGTACCAAAGACTATTTATACCAGATGCACTCTAATTGGTCGGTTTACTTTGCAGAAGGAAAGAAGCACTCAGATTGGCCAGAATGTCTATTCAAAATAAGCCTTCACGTACAGTGACTAGAAACATAGGAAAAGCAACAGAAAAGAAATGAAGAGAACAAAAACTGCTTTTGTGATGAGACTGGAAACTGCTGGCTACAGGAATGGATAGAGAGTAAACGCAGAAACGGAGCATGGGGGATGGAGCAGGCCATTCAATAGTAGCTCAAATAGCAGGGGCTCAACCACAGACTCCCAGTGAAAAAGTCAGCAACAACATTGAAGTAGGGCATAGCTCTGTTCTCAGGGGAGATGAGAGTGAGATACACTAGTCCCCCCTTATCCATGGTTTCAGTTACCCATGGTCAACTATGGCCCAATATTAAATGGAAAATTCCAGAAATAAACAATTCATAAGTTGTAAATGGCACATTGTTCAGAGTGGCATGAGGAAATCGCATGCCATCCGTCCTCCTCTATCCCACCCTGGGTGTGAATCATCCTTCGGTCCAGTGTATCCAGCAGTCTACACTACCCGCTCATTAATCACTTAATAGCTGTCTCAGTTATCAGATCGACTGACAAGGTAGCACAGTGCTTGTGTTCAAGTAATCTTTATTTGATATCAACTCCAAGCACAAGAGTAGTGGGTCTTGCTTTTTATGACTGTTCTATTTTGTAATTGTTATTGATCTCTTAGTATGCCTACTTTATATTGTAAATTAAACTTTATCATAGGTATGTATATATGAGAAAAAACATACTATACACAGGGTTTGGTACTGTCCTCAGTTTCAGGCATCTACTAGGGGTTTTGGAATAAATCCCCCAAGGATAAGCAGGACAACTGTATTCAATGCACAGTGATCAAACAAGTCATTCAACCTCTGGTCCAACCACTCCACAGCTAAGTATATAACCATGCAGCTTTTTAAAACCACAGAGAACGTTCATCATATTACTTCATTGGAGTCTCACTCTGTGGTTGGCAGTTACTATTATTATTTTCGTTTCCTGTCCAATTAAAATGCTGAGTTCACGAGCGCTGAACAGCTCAAGTACTTCTAGTATAGTCGTATTTCAAGACTAAAACTGTAATCTTTTATCTTGGTCCAGCATTTGTTCACAACCCTGCCTCTACTAGACAGTACATATAGTATTTTGTTAAAAAAAGTAAAAAGTATAACTCATTTTAGAACAAGTTCCTTAAAAAGGTTTTTATTAACTAGGACTTTAAAAGTTCAAATATAGTGCATTCACCTATTCAAAAATCCCCCAAGGTGCCTTAAGGCTAAGGTTTAAGTGCACCAGGTTAAAAGGTCATACAGACCCAAGCATTTCTAAACCTATTTAGATACCTTCACTGAAGAGCATCACCTGGTGCCTGAATGTCACCAAGAATAATCACTAATAATTTTTATCTTTCCTACTTTCCTATAGGAAAGTATTTTAATATTTTAACTAATCAGGAAATGAAAAGACCCTAGACTCTTATTTTTTGCTGTTTGCCTGAAATCTGTAAAGTCTTCATGCAATGCAAACCAAATCTCAAAATGGGTTGTTCAACAAAAGCATAAACCAATAAAGACACTGACTCTACAGACTCTGTTTAGGCCTCAGTACCTGTTCCAGCATAAGCCCTAGGCAACTGCATATCCGTTTATATGTCAAAATGAGAATCCGATATCTGTCCCCACAGTCATATTACAAAGAAGACGACACTCTTTTATATGATGGTGACAGATTATCTAAATAGACATCATCTCAATGAATTTCAACAGGCTCTCCACCTTTTCAAAATTTGAATACCTCAATCTCATAGGATCAATTTAAAGATGCCACTGTTGAACAAGTAAGAAAAATGACATATAGATTAAATAAACTGGCTAAACTCATATCCAACAGAGACACCTTATCCTCAACCATGTTTAGATTGTTTATCTGTAATGCATTTAAATGAACTTCAGCCTTACTACCCCAAGTGTGGTCGGTGAATTTTCAGCATCTGCTGTAGCTGGAAATAACAGTAATGCAAAATCTGCATTTTCTTTTTTTTTTTTTTTTGAGATGGAGTCTTGCTCTGTAGCCAGGCTGGAGTGCAATGGCTTGATCTCAGCTCACTGCAACCTCTGCCTCCTGGATTCAAGCGATTCCCCTGCATCTGCCACATGAGTAGATCAGACTATAGGCATGTGCCACCACGCCCAGCTAATTTGTTTGTATTTTAGTAGAGCTTGGGTTTCACCATGTTGGCCAGGATGGTCTCAATCTCCTGACCTCAGGATCCGCCTGCCTTAGCCTCCCAAAGTACCAGGATTACAGGCGTGAGCCACCCCACCTGGCCAAAATCTGTATTTTTAACAAGTCCATGTGTTTCCCACAGTGGCTGAAATTTGGGCAGCACTGATCTATTAATAGAAACATATACATATAGATGGATAGAAAGAGAGCCAGGAAGAAGCCCATCTCAGCATCCCTTTAGGGAGATGTTTCTAGCGCCAAAAAACTGGGAATTTGAATTTACATTGCATGTTAAAAGATTTGTCCGTATGAATCCAGAGAGGCAAGTTATCAGAGGAGCGGGTCTAAAACTCCTTGCCAGCCCCAGGCATCCTCAACATATGCCAGGAGCACATTGAAAAGTAGCTACCAAAATTCTCTCCTAGAAATAGTACATTATTTATGCTGATGACATATAAGAGGTTTTGAAATACTGATTTCACCCTCTGTTCAATATAGAATAAAAGCCAAAAAACATCAGTTTACAAAAGAAGAAAAAAGTAAATTTAAACTAAAATATAGAGGTGAAAGGAAGCAATCCTAATGTGGTCACATTTTTTTTTTTTTTTTTTTTTTTTTTTTTTTTTTTTTTTTTTTTTTTGATACAGGGTCTCGCTCTGTTTCTCTGTCACCAGGCTGGAGTACAGTGGCAAGATTTCAGCTCACTGCAACCTCCACCTCCTGGGTTTAAGCCATTCTCCTGCCTCAGCCTCCTGAGGAGCTGAGATTACAGACACGCACTACCATACCCAGCTAATTTTTGCATTTTTTTTTTAGTAGAGACAAGGTTTCGCCATGTTGGCCAGGATGGTCTCCATCTCTTGACCTTGTGATCCACCCACCTCAGCCTCCAAAAGTGCTGGGTTTACAGGCGTGAGCCACCAAGCCCACCCATGTAGTCATTTTAATAGGTTATTTTAAATAAATACTCATGGTACACTATAGTTGATTTCAAGCTGTACATTGGTGTCTTTAAAAGATTTTTATTAATCTCAAATTCATTTTCTTTGGTTAAATCAGTATATATCTTTGTAAGAGTGGGTTAACATATAAAACTTTGTTTCTTTAATATAAATCAGTGACATGATTCAGTACCATATTTTCTTTCTTTCAATAGAATAACAAGAATAACCTTCCTATTTTAAATAAAGTTTACCAAATGAATTCAGGTATAACAGTGTTTTCCATCAGCTATAAATAATTGCCTCCTTCTAAAGGGCCTATTTCTGCAAATAAAAATGTCTTTTTGCCTGATTAAACAACTTCATCATTTGAGAACTTTTCTTCTGCAAATTTTAGTTGGAAAATTTGTCATAAGCAGCTTGCTTTGTCAAAATGAGATTTTTTTCAATTGCTTTGGGAGAACAGTCGTACAGTTAATTATTTGGGTCAGGAAAGAAGAAACTTGTTCTAAAGGAAATATACTTGACAAAACATCTGGACCCAGCTATTCTACCTTAAGACATTTTACAATTGAAGGCAGAATGCTGAGTATTTATATTTCTTAAAGCTGAAGATAGGAAGGCAGAAGTAGCCAAAAACCAATTTACAAAACTGTGAGAAATGTCCCAGAGGAACCACTGTAGGCTAATTACAGCTGTCAACCCTACCTTGAAAGCCCCTTCTTCGGAATGGTTCTGTAATGACAAGTGTCCTCCCCAAACTGAAAAGCAGTCAAGCCTATGAATGTAAACTCTATAGCCACCACCTAAAGCACCCCCCACAGAGGACACAATTTGCAGGGATGTCACTTCTGCATACACTGACATCCAGTAAGTCCTTGTTCCCTCTGGAGCAGCCTTACTTCAGAGTTTATTGACTCCCATTTAATCCAAGAGACACAACTAACAGAAAATAAAACCGGGTAGACATGCTTTCATTGTGGAACAAACTGGAAATTAACAAAAACAAGATGTTTACTTTTTCACAAAGTATTTTCATTTATCTGCCTCTCTCGAAGGCTAGTTTTACAATTTTGGGTTTACAATAGAAGCTCAATAACACTATGCTTTATAACAATGACCTTCATACAGATCTATGACCTAACTGGCTAATGTCAAAACAAAAAAAAAAGCAAGGCAATAGTTTGCATCCTTTCAGTGTCTTTATAGAACACATATATGCAACCAAAAAAAGAAAACAAAACTTCACGAGACACAGCTGTAAAAATTTTATGAGCCTTATTCATCTTAAAAAAAAACTTATTATGTAAGAAATAAACTTGTGAACTGCACTTCAAATTAATAACCAAAGAATTCCAAGTATGCAGGGTTATATGGACTGCCATTCTTCCCACCGGATTTTTAAACAATGTTGAAACATAGCTGTTTGAAATACTTCAGTCCCATCATTTAACACTGTTCAAAATGTCAAGAGCCATATTGCGCCCCAGTGGCCACTCTTCAGCAAATAACACATCCTTTGAAGTTAAAATACTTCTAAATGATGTCAAGTGAGAATTCCTAGGCTAGTACGGTCAAAATTGTCTACTTCTACGGAAATCAATAATCTCTGGAATCACAATTAGGAAAAGGGCATTTTCATTATCCAAAGTCGTGAATTTTTCAGTTTTAAATCTCAATCAATTTCCTTACCACAAGGCAATGTTTTTATCATATGCTGTGATCATATGCCTGTACTAAACCTGTTTTTTTTTTTAACTTAAAGCTCCTGAGGAATACTTTTAAAATAAATTTCACGAAAATGAAGATTAATCATCAAAGACAAAGCAATACCTAACATACAGCTGCTATTCCAAGGGTACTAACGTGTGTTTCATTTCAGAAATCATGTAATTTAGACAGTCACCTTAACTATAACTACATGCTGTGCCACGCTTCATACCAGGTCTCACTCCACCATAACAAAATGCCCCAGCAAAGAAATCAAGAAACAAAAGCCTATATCGAATCATCATAAGCAAATAGCATCTCCTCTGCCAAATACTAAGGTATGTCTAAAATGGATACAGTGGCACTACCCTCAAGCCATGTGGTATAGAAATAACCTTCGAAGAAAGTAAATACACATTTAATTTCATTTAATTCCACAAAAGTGGAATCTAAATCCGAAGTTCATATTTTCGATTCTCATCTCTTTTCCATATTAATTTTTTAGGCATGCATAAATCAAAACCTCTATCTCATCTTTAAAACATTAATCTCTAGTTTTTCAAATTAACGGAACTTATGAATGTCCTTCAATAAAATAAACTACTCTAAAAATGATAATAAACTTTTAATGTAGAATCCTGAAAACAATTATTTCAGTACTTCCACCTTTTTCAAAATTCTCTGGTTTACATAGATAAGTTTCCTTAATTGTTTCCCATTTACCTGCATTAAAAAAAAAAGTCAAAGTTGTAAACCCAAAAAACCAATCCCAAAATGCTTCTAAAAGACTGAAACAAACATTTATACCTTTTATTTTAGAAACCTTGGGTATCAAAAAAACTGACAAATGTGATTGAAAAGGTAAACAGGGAAAAAAGAGAAGAGGGCGCGATAGAAATTTGGTAGAGCCGCATCTTTTTGGAATTAACTGCCTTGAAAATAAGGCCAAAAATCTTTGAAGCAAAAATCTTTAATCCCTATGACCAGTTGAGGCAAATCTACTCAGTCCAAAGAATTCAGACATCGAAGAAAAACAACTGAGCGTAGGAAAGGCATTTAGAAAAGGCATTCCAAAGCTTCCGCGTGTATGAATAAAGCACCAGTAAGGACAGACCCAAAATAAGGCCAAGCCAAAGTACCAATCATGAATCTCAGGAGTGAATGTTTTAGAAAAGAAGCTAACAGAGTCCCAATGAAAAATTTTAAGGATGAGTATCAATAAAAATAAGCACGAGTAAAAAAATTAAAAGGTAACAATAAAGAGACAAATTCAAGTGGAATTCCACCAGCCAAAGGTCAACCTATCAGCATGTTTATAGATCTATCATCAGACTCCCAGATTCAAACCCTGTACAGTACCTGCTGAAGTACAGGTAAGAAAGCACCATGTTTGGTGTGATGCTTGTGAACAAGGTGAGCAATGCTGTAGTTGTGTTACGCACCACATATACAAAGAATGCCATATCTAGTAATATTCATAATCAGCGAATTATGGAATATAACAGTTTATTCCTCAAAAGCACATACAAATCATATCTTCAAAGAAACTATTTAGCACTGTATGCAATTACACCAGCAATTATTCACAATAGTATGCCTTTTTCACCCAAAGAAAAATAGAAGCTATGCAGTCCTGCTGAAATATCCCTCGACTTTTGTTACAAACTAAGCTCCTAAATGAAGTCAGCTATTTATAGAGGAGAGGTCTTTACATTCAATAACCCACTGTTCCTTTCCTTGGAGGCTGCTACACCTGTCACTTTTGTGAAGCCATTAAAATAAGTATCCAAAGCTGATACAATACTATGCTCCTGAGAGAGAACCAATATTTATTCGAGTATAAATTTAGATAAGTATAATAAATTTAGATGAGTAAAATAAATTTTAGGCACAAAATTCAGATGCGTATAATAAAGTTGTAAGAAAGTAGGTTTGTCAGCCACAGATTTTTCGAGGGCCTTAAGGGTAAACTTTGTCCTTTCCTAATATTAAAAAGGTGCCTGCTTTAGAGCTAATGCACCTTTAGCCTATGAAAAACAGCTGTACCACTACAGGTATTTTTAAAAATTGCTTTCAGTGTGCTGAGCAGCAACAAAACGATTAGAAAGACAAACTGAATGTGCTCCTAATGCATGTCAGAATCCAAAAGGTTGTTGCTATTTCAAAATTACAGCAGAAGAGAGTTTAGTATTACCATAGGGGCACATTAGCATTGAAGAACTAAGTGCAAATGACAAAACAGGCCATAGAATCACCAATGTAAATGTAAATTAATGATCGTGCATGTATATGTGTGTATGAAAACAACTAAGAGACAGATGGCAATTTTCCCTACGGCATTTGCACATGTCCATTCAATGCCTGTATGTGGGTCAATTACTATGATAAACATCATGTGACAGGCTCAACGGAGGTAAAGCAGTTCATACTGACTTCACCTCATTTTAATTTACTGATGAGATATACTTAATCAAAGAACCAAAATGAACTCTTTCCAAATAAATTTGTCTAAACAACCAAAATTTAGCTAGAAAATGAAATGCTTTGTTCTCTATGCAGTATCTAGATGCTTAGGGAAAAAAAAAAAAAAAAAAAAAAAAAAAAAAAAAATGAAATGCCACCTAAAATAATTTCTAAACTCTTAACTTGTATTCCAGTGCAAACTGGGAAGGAAACTGAAGAGTAAGACAATACTCCTGTACACAGTGGTTTCTTATAATAATAACTTGATAAGACAATCACCTACACAAAGAGAGCTTCTCTCTTACTTAATTATATAGTAATTCTTTCTAAACATGCTTTTTACTGATACCAGGCCTGCCTTCAGTAGTTACACATATTGGAATCTTAAGATAACAATGTCAGATTGCTCAAAGACAAGTCTATTAGAGAGAACTTTTTAAAGATAAGTTAACAGAGTGATTATTTCACAAGGGATTCCTATCATACCAGGTCAAAAATCCAAACTAACAATAACATTAAAAGATCAAGCAAAAATAATAGTTGAATATCTTTAGAAAGAATGCACTTTTTTTAAAAAAAAGTGTTAATATGTCTTAAATTTCATTTCCTCATTTTAAGTAACATTAATCAAACTCATTATAAAGAAAAATTTAACTGTTTCTAAAAACTGAGATTTACATTTATACACAAATGAAAAGCTAACTAGGAGTGTATTATTAAGAGCTTGATGTATTTTTAATTCCATAGTAGATATTTCTACCTTGTAGTTATTTCTCCAAGTTTCAAAAAATTACTGCACAATTACTGCTAAGAGACCTATAGGTAAAATTAATGATCATTGGGTTTAACACATGCAAAATGGGCAATAAGAAAAATTTTCAGAGGAGTCACCAATACATTTTCTACTTCCAAACATGCAAATTGTCTTTCTTTACAAACTAATACATTATTTTACTCATGTGAGGATTTAAAGCATGTAAAAGTTGCATTATCTTATTTACTTGTCTATGTATAAAAAGCGCATGTCACCAATTAGATGACATGTGTAAAGGGAAATCAGACTTCTGAAGTTTGGAACAGTTATGGTTTGTTTACCTTTGTCTGCTTTGAAGTAAACTGACTCCTCTCATAGTGTTATCTCCATAAGAAACTCATAATAGTGTTATTAAAAAGGATAAGAAAAAATGATGTCATGTCAAACTCAACAAACATATAAGAAAGCAGAGAAGTTTGGGTCAGCAAGTTTTTCCACTGACCTAAACACCAAATTTTCTTCAGAAAATAAGAGAATATCCTTTAAAGAATCATACAACATCACTTAAAAAAAACTGCATATTTTTAATTTCAATTTTCCTCTAATCACAACTTAAGATTCAATACTAGATTGAAGGCAAGGGGAGTGAGGATGAAGCTGAAACCATACACCATTTTTCATCAGATACTATGAATTCTTCTCTTCCACTGTTTGTTTCATCACATCAGAGGCATATTCTTAAGTTTAGCACAGAAACACTTGTGAAATATTAAATTTTACCATAGAGAAATTGATTTTGCTGAAAGAAAGTTTCATGTTACCATTTAATTTCAACCAAGCTACATCAAACACGGAAAGAAATTATATATAGTTTATAAAGTAAACTTAATCACTATATTTAAAAGAAATGATAACTTTGAGAAGTACCACAGCAATAATGATTTAGTGAAGCAAGTCAGGAATAAGAGCCATCTCCCTTAAGCCTGCTCCCTTCACTTCCAGCATTGTCCTCTCCTTATAGAACTGTATTGCACAAAAGTTCCCGGGGGGGCAGCAGAATCCACAGATCTAGTTTAAGCAACGTTTTAAACATGAATCTTTGCATCTGAAATGGAGTAGTGGAAATAAACAAATTATCATCATCCTTCAGTTTATACTTGGCTCCCCAGTTCTCTTCCCCCTTCACATAACAGTGAGTTACAGTAGTTAGCTAGAAAATATATCAGAAAAGCCACAATCTATAGCGTACCTTGGCAACAAATCACTTGAACAGGCTGTGCATACAACAAATAAGTTCAGTGCTCCTATTTATGTGTCTCATAATTTCTAGGATAAAAAAAACAAAGTTTGCTACTTTTAAGATTTCACATTCTAAGAATGTGATTGCATATGGAGTTCTGCTAATAAGTCAGTGTAAAATACACTTTTCAATTTGTAGCAAAATATAATTCACACTTATAGGTCCTCAACATTATATCAATATAAACTATGTATCACATTGAGCATGCTATCAATAAAATGATATGGGCAAATAATCATACTCAATTTACCTATGTAGCTACAAGATGGAAGTCACAAATTTTAACACTCTAACCTATTGCATCTGAAAAACTTACAACTGCCAACCATCAAAGCACAACTAATTTATCATTACACTCACACCATTCTTCCAAGTTACAAAGTCCAGTCCTAACACTTCTAACTGATGACTCAAGAGCAAAGAACAATTAGACCTATAGAAAAATGTATATCCAAATTCAGCTTTGATTTTTAAAGAATGGTTCTACTGATATGTACTTTCTTAACGATTAGATAGCAATTAACAAAGGCATATAATAGGAACACTTGATTTATCACAGTTTCTACAAGAGGTTGCATTACTATAGTTAAGTTTCTTTTTTTAAATAAACTCTTTATTCTTGGTTTAAATGCTTACTCTTCAAACCGCCCCCAAGAGAGCCAGTAACTGCCCATACTGACCCCTGAGCTGGTTTTAGTAAAAAGTCACCCATCTTTGGAAGCAAGGGCTTTTCCCACCAATATGCAGGAAATAGCAGGTGCACCATTACACAAAATTGGAGAGAACAGAAGTTCACCTCGCTCCTACAGACCATTTCTCAGAGCATGTTGTGTAGTTGCTAAAATCAGTATGCTGCATAAAAGTTAAGAAAAAATGTATGTCTAACAGTGGCTCTCTATCAACTAGCCTCTGATAGGCTCTACATAAAATGCATTAAGACGGGTTTGCTGGATGTTCTGGTACCTATTATCAGATGATTTCTTAAAAGAGACGTGAACCTCCTTTTAGCAGGAAAATGGGCACGCCAGAGAGTACAGAATGTGGCTAATTACGACCAGGAGAGGATTCTGTCTTCGCCTCCCCTCACTATCAACCACTTTGCTTAAGTTCATTCACTGCCTCGCCCTAACCCTGGGGATCCATTCACTTTCCATAGCCCAGAGAGGCTGCTGAAAAGCTGTCAAAGTAAATCTGTGCTCACTTTTTGGATGGTTTAATTTCAATGGAGCATGAAACACCCCAGGACGGTTAATAAGTTTGGCCAGGCGTGCTGTTATCCCTAATATATTTTAATTATGCATCTGTTTTAATTGTAATCAGATTAAGGCACCGGAAAGACACAAATTGCAATTTTCCCTAATGGATATAGGAGCTTTTCATCAGTTTCTAAACACTAATAACGTTTAAAAGATGGGTAGAGACACCAATACAACTGTGACATTTTCCAGAAATCGATGCAGTTTCTTTGACAATACAGTTCAGGTCTCATTAGCCACCCAAACTAGCCTAAATGCAGAAGACAACTTCAGTCTCTAGGGCGTCTTCTCCAATTAGCACAAAAGAATCACTAACGTCTAATGTACAAGTCCCAAACAGAAATGAAAGCCGAAGCTTTTATAAAGTGCTGCCCCAAGAATGGGTGAAGGAGGCTAGGGAGGCGGGAGAGACCATCAGCAGCATTATTTTGGCTCAAAGTAAAAGTCTGTACACATTAAAAGGGAAAGTTAAAGCAGAGAACGATCTCTTTCCACAATTTTGGCAACTATCAAATGTGTGTTTTAACTTCGGGAAATAAAAGTGTCCCATCAATAAAAGGAAACGGGATGGGGAGGATCTATCAGGGATCCAGGAGTGGCTTCCTCCTAACCCAGATGTAAAATCATTTAATGGGCTTTTGTTGCAACATGGAATACCTAAGACTTTTTTTATTTAATATGTTCATTAAACAGTTTCCCAAATTGCCGGGATTTCCGCTAAGAAACTCAAGCGTCTGCCAACAGCCGAGAAGCAAAGGAGAGAACCTGCTGCAAACTAGGAACGGAAACTCCCTCGGCCCGCCCGGCGCGCTCACGTCCCCGGTGTCTGCTTTAGGTGTTAATGTTTACGTGTCGCCCGAACCATCAGGCGCTGAACCAGTTCCTCCAAGACGCACTTCGAGCCTTAAAGCGGGAAGCTTCTGAGCCACCTCGGAGTGTGCCCCCTGCAGCCCGTCGCCCCTTCCTCTCGGCCCCTTACCTGTCATCATAGCAGAAATCCGCACTCAGGGTGTTGAGATACAAGGCGAGCCCCAGAGCGCTGCTCACCAACTCTGCAATCATCTCTCCACCGCCTTCCCTCCGGCTCGGCTCCCAGCGCGAGGGCAGCAGCGGCAACAAAAAACAGAAGCATCAATCCCCACCTTCCGCCGCCTTCTCCTCCCAGCTTCACTTTTCTCTCGCTTCCCCACCCTCCCTCCCTCGGGTCCTTCCACTCCACGACTCCTCTCCTCCTCCTCGCGCCCGGCTCCGCAGCTCCTGCGTCCTCCCCGGGTGCGGGCTCACACCGCACTCCCCATACCCGGCGCCCGCGAGCGGCGAGCGGCGTTCGGGCTCCGCGTCCCCCGGCGGAAGCGCAGGGCTGGTCTCTCGCGCGGGTCGCGGTCCCCACCCTAACCCATGGCAGTTTGGGGCGTCCTAGGTGAGGACTGGGACTCGGAGGAGGTGGAAGGGTGCGAGATGGGGCAGAGGGACCAGACCGAGCCGGGCTCTGGGACCAGCTGCAGGAAGAGAGAGAAAGAGGCGCGGGTGGGAGGGACGAGGCGAACCGCCTCCCCTCGCCGCCTCCCCGGCGCACTGCTCCGGTGTCGCTCGGGCGGACTCCAGCCGCCAAGGCGGCTGCTACACATTCACTGTTTATTAGCTCCCTCCCGGCCCCAACCCCAGCTCCCTTCTCCAATGAAGTGAGAAGCGGTGGCTGGAGACTCCAGAAGCTCCCGCGTGGGGATCCCGACGCGGCCCCCCGCGCCTGCGTGACCAACCCACCATCCCGGCTTGGCCCAGCCCCTTTCTCCACCCAGATCCTCCCGGAATGCTCCGCCCACCCTGCCCCACAGGCTGGAGGCGCCTCCCACCCTCCCCGGCCTGGAAGCTCCTCCTACCCGTCTCCCGCCCTCTTGTTTCTTTCACCTTCGATTTCACTCTGGAAAGCCCCCGGGACCCAAAGGCGACGGCTGGAAGACAGCCCAAAGGAGTAGCTACAGTGCGGCCTGGGAGGGGAAGCCGGGGAAAGGAGGCCGAGAGGGAGGTGGTCGCTTGCCCCGCTGCTGCCTGGCGGCGCCTGGCACAGCTGAGTCTCAGCCACAGCGCTGCGTGTGCCAAGAGCTGCCAGGCGTAAGTCCGGTCAGCTGGAGAGAGTTCTGAGCCTGGGAGAGGAAGAACAGGTTTGGCCACTGCTGCAGCTTTGGTTGCCACAAACACACGGGCGATCTCTTACGCACAGGGTGTGTGAGCCTAAATGGGGCAGGTGGAGGTCGTGTTGGAGAGCTTGGAGGCAACTTAGCTTGAAGGAGAGAGGATTTCAACTCTTAGCCTAAGGTTGGTCCCAATGTCAATGGAAAGACGCATAGGGAGAGAAATGTTCCCTCCTTCAGTTAGGTTAAAAAGAAAGGATCCCCGAAAGGGAAAAAGACACATACACCCTTCAGCGGCTTCCCGGGGACCCCTTCGTGGTTTCAGGGGGACTGTCAGGTTGACCCTGAGAACACAGAGGAGAGAAAACCTCTAGTGCAAGCCGGTACAGCACTATGCTTCAACCTAGTTAGGCGGGAAGCTAATAATGCCTTTCCTTTCCGCTCGGAGGCAGGAATGGATGGAAAGCATCCAACATGATGAAATATGGTGTAGAATGGTCTGTGTAGAACAAGCTCTGGGTACTAACGTTGCAAGACTAAGGAGGACCCTGGGCTGCCTGACACACCTCCTCCCGGCTCCTCGCCTTTCTGGCCGGGGGAGTGGCTCCGGTGGACCGCAATGAACACTACTGCAGCGCCCCCTGCTGCATAGTAACCACGAGGTGTGGAAGACAGGTCTTTTCCATGCGTGCCGACTGGTTCCAAGAGCAGCACCTAACCAGCAAGCTCTCCAAAACTGTGGCAAGAAATTTAGCCCCCTGGGTGTCCGGCAGTGGCCTGAAAAGAAAGTACCGTGGTTTGGGCTTCTGTAGACCAAAGCTGCGTATCTTCCTGATTTCACAAGGAAATCTGAGAAATCTGTATTGGATACACACAGATAAGATGATGAATATTTATTCAGATTATACCTATTATGCCATCCACAGTAGCACATTTTTTGTGCCCTGGACAAATATATGTGAACAAAAATAAAAGAAATTACATCTTTACAGTTAGGAAGTGATCTTTTACCCTTTTTCCCCATAACCTTGTCTCACTGTTGCAAATTTTGAAAATTGTATCAGTCCGTCATGATGTTCTGTCTCTCCAGTGCACTTACATGCTGAGATATGTATAGTATATATAAAATATGCATCTGGTCACTGAAGAAAGAACACATACTGTGGAATCAGATGTTTATGCTTGAGTGCATACTCTGCTATTATTATTCGGGTGATCTTTGGCCAGTCACTCAACCTCTTTGTGACTCTGTTTTCTAATCTGTAAAACGGTGGTAATGATAGTACTATCTTATGAGTACTATCGTGAGTATTAAAATAGTTAACATAGGTAAAACACTTAAAAGGGACCTGGAAAGTGCAAAAAAATGTGTTAGCTAGTATGTCATTATTACTATGCTTTCTAGCTTCCTCATTTCATTTTACTTATTAACAAAAACCTAGACACTTGCCTCCAAAACACATCTTATCACGTCTTTACTACTTGAGTCCACAGCCCAGTTACCCTCATCTCCTGTAGAGACTGGGTTTCATCATGTTGTCCACGCTGGTCTTAAACTCCTGACCTCAAGTGATCCACTCACCTCTCCTGCATACACAAATGCAGTAGCCCTCTAAGTGGTCTCCATACTTCTACCACTGCAATTCGTCCCTTCCCCAATTTTAACTTTAGGCAGAAGTTCCTTTTGAAAACCTATACATCCCCGATTTTTAAATGTTCCACAACTTTCTGTTGTATTTTTAAATATCCAACAACTTCCTGTTATACAGCTAATAAAACTAATTCTTGCCATGGCTAGCCAAGCCTTCCTTTCGCCCAGACCACTCCTCCCCCTTCACGTTGTGCACATATGTGTACAACGTAGACATCCTTCTCCTCAGGAACTTCCCACTGTTTCTTCCTCCTGCATAAGGTGCTTCTCCTCAGACCTTCTCTAGCTCCTTCTCACCATTTAGGTCTTAGCTCAAATGCCATAACCTCAGAAATAAAGTATGCTCTCCCCCATCAATCTCTATCCAACCTCCATGTATTAGTTTCTTTGTAGTATGTATTGGTATCAGGAAGCACCACTGAATGGAAGCTCCATGAGGGCAGGGATCCTGGCATTCTTGTTTTCCACATAATACCCAGAACCAGAGCTTCTAACATCCAGACATGTAGAAGAAACTTTAAAAAGATGTTAACAAATGCACAAAACAAATATGCTTAGGAGAAACTATGTGACAGCTAGAAAATCCACAAATTTTCATCACTGATTTATTATTATCATTGTTAAATAGGGTGAAATATTAACCAAGGAGAGAGGAAGGCAGCAGGTTCACAATTGATCAGGATGTATCAAGTTTGCAGGAATACCCTTGATGGGGAGTCACATGGACAGCTCTCTTCAATTATTAAGAGGACTCAGAGATATAAAAATATTAGAGAGCTTTGGGTTATGCATGCTAAAAACTTGTAAGCCTTTTACAGAGCTGTGTTCATTTTTAAGGCTCTGGTAGTTTTATTTTACTTTTAAAATTTGATTTATTTATTTAATTTGAGACAGTCTTGCTCTGTCGCCCAGGCTGGAGTGCAGTGGCCTAGCTCTGTTTTGGCTCACTGCACCCTCCGCCTCCCAGGCTCAAGTGATTCTCCTGCCTCAGCAGTAGCAGGAGTTATAGGGGTGTGCTACCACGCCCGGCCAATTTTTTTGTTTTTAGTAGAGATGCAGTTTCACCATGTTGCCCACGCTGGTCTTGAACTCCTGACCTCAAGAGATCCGCTCGCCTCAGCCTCCCAAAGTGCTGGGATTACAGATGTGAGCCACCATGCTGGGCAATGGCTCCAATAGTTTTAAATAAATTTTATGCACTCCTCCATCTCCTCCTTTTCTCCTCTCCCCACATCCTAATGCCTCTGAATTGGAAGCCTGGGTGACTGGGAGATGTGTTGTAAAGCGGCACGTCTAGCATTCCCTGTTAAATGGAAGGCTGAAAACCCAGCTGTGTTCAAGAAATCCAGTTGCTTTTTAACAAATTTTTCTATTATAATTTAATGTAGGTTTCAATATCCTTCCAGAGCATTAAGCCATGGTCTTTTTCAGATTGCTCTCCAAGGGCTGAGAAGCCGCCAATTCCTGCATTTTCTACCTTCCTTGAACAACTTTAGGAGGAAAACCAGATTAAAGATGTCATCACTATCATTGAAGATCATTTAAAATCTGGGGACATAGCTTTTTCGTTTATCAAGGTGTACTTATTCAACGTGAGATTGCGGCATCCGTTCTGAATATGTGTACGGTCCATTTAAAGCTACTGTTGCTCTCCACAGATGAAGGAAATTAGGATGGTTGGCTCGAATTTTCTACCTTAGACACAATACTGGCCAAAAAAGTGCTAAGCCCTTATTTTCCTGAAGTAGGTTCCACACATCTGCTACCTCACCACTTCCTCAATGAATTCCTTTTTATAGTAGCCCCGACCTACCCTGCATTTGTTCTGCATTCCCAGTCCTTTGTTGTATAATTCATACCTTTGCAGTGCCAGTTCCTCAGGGTAAAGATTTCCTTATTTGCCTAAGACATTTTTAGTTTATTGTGTAATACTATCTTCCCTTTGGGTGTTGCATAAATATTAACTAAAAATCCACATCTGGTCCTGGTCGTCATTTCTATTTGTCCTAATATAACTTCTCTTTGAACAATTCATTTGGAAAGTGTGCCAAGGGTGAAATGTGGCACGTAAATTCTCTTGCTGCACAGAATGCTTTTTAAAGTGCCCACAGATTTGATTATTTATGAGCAGAAGATTTGCGCCTCTTCCTTGCTCTCTCAATTCTAAAATTGTACTGGGCCAAAATAATT